GAAACAAAAGGTCACGTTCTATATGCATAGTTATTACCTGATTACCCAAATATTCCATCACGTCACTATATATCAGCAGAACCTGTCCTGGTTCATTATACCTTACCACACTGAGCTTTAATAGTGTTGTCTTTTACTGTTTGAAAGAGGGTGCTACATTTTCATTCTGCATTGATAGCATCCATGCGGGTCATATGTTTGACCCTTTTCAGGGGAAGAGGAAGAAAATGCTGAAATGATGGCCGTAGTGATGGGTTTGTCATGACAATGCTTACACCTAGCTTCCATATGTTCTCTTGTATCCTGAAACGTGATTTATCCAGAACCATGCTCAGGAACGATTCTGGATGGGCTACGCATATCCAGAACCGTGTCTGGGGCAAAACCCAATGTTCTTGAATACGCGGAGACTATCCAGAACCGTACCTGATTCTAACCCTAACCCATTCAGGCATAGAATTAGATAGGCACGGTGCTGGATACGACATGTACCTTAGCCTCCATAGCATGCCAAAAACTGGGGGTTTGGGGGTCTTCAGGGTCTTTGGGAGCTTTTATGTGCTATTTTCTGATTGCATATAGACAACATAGCCGATCTGGTTGAATTACCCCATTTTTAGAGAACTGGGTGAATCAGAAAACAGCCGAAGACCACCAAACCCCCAGTTCTATAAGCCTACTACAGAGGCTTCGCGCCAGGTGTTTCGATACATGCGAGCCAAACGTTGTGGTAACATCTAGAAGGTGAAGAGTCGCTTGTAAGCCTTTGTATTTTCTCCACCACCGCTGCAACTTTGCTAAACTCATCCAAGAAAGAAAAGTCAACCATTTAGTACGCACCCCATAGGTTCGTCTTTGTTCAAGTTTTAAACGGAGTTCACAGTTGTGTTTACTTTACTCGCTCGACATCGCTCTTTCGTCTCTCCATCTGTCAGAGGACTCGTAAATCAAACCGGGAATGGTGTGCCCGCCCTAGGATTTGTTGACACGGGTTCGATTCCCAAAGAAAAACCTGCCCGAGCTTTTGTGGGATAATGGATAGTGGAAACGCCGTCACTCCGCACTTAACACACTTCAAAAGCCTTGGTGTGGTCGAGAAAGAGAACCCAGCGACACCTTAGCGTGCCGTGTTTATTTCTATTGGGGTCCCGACGAAAACTTGCAATCATTAGCCCCTAGTTTAAACTAGTACTTCAAAAGATTCCTCTACTCTTTGTCCCCAAGGAAGAATGGGGGAAAGAATGTCCCTTTCATACGTATTTGCTTAGGTGAGTCTGTAGGGGAATAAGGGCACTATTGTAAACAAGGGTTTGGGCTCTAGACTAACAGACGGACCGGACTCTTTGTTCTGTTCCCGTCTGTCTGACCTCTGCTCAAGGTCAAGTAAGTTCCAAATGTTGGGAACCAAGGCTAAGATTTAGATACCACATTACATACCGTGTTTTTTTTCTCCATAGAAACTTTAATAGAAAAGTTTAGCAAAGTTTATTGCAAATTCGTGCCCGGAGGCTAATTGCAAATTACAAAACATGAAAGTACATTGAAACAGAGTATAGAAAATAACTTAAGTCTACATGATGAAGGTAGCTGTCTAGAACTGTATAATTTTTTCTAAAACTATGTCTGAAGGGTTTGACTTCTCTTCTGTAAACCATGGTAAACCAAGTACCAGCACGGTGTACTTGTAAGAGTGATGTTAGGAAATTGTCGAATCCAGTCCCTCATTTTATGTAGGAAATGTTTGTAGCAAGCTCACTGAATTTGAAAATACTGTGTACTAGTAGTCTGTCTACCGTGCAAAAGCGCCACCTATGTGTATCCAACTGAATTGCACATCGATGTGATAGACCCCCCCATCTGATTTTCTTTTGCCAACAACATGCAATGCTAATGAAACACTTTCTTTGATAAAGGAATATATACCATTGAAGTAGTACACATGTATGTTACCTTCCCCGTAAATCCTCTTGGAACTTCAATGTAAAATAAGGGAACTGCATAAAAAGGACAGACTTTACCATATCCTTTATTTTCACAGCATAATTTGTGAGGCGTATGCAACATTGAATTGTATCATTGAATGATACAATACTGATACACGAAACAATTCTACTGCTGAAAGACATAAGAAAAGCTTAACATTACAAGCCACAGCCAACTAAGATTATTAATAATCTCCATATCAGCAGTATAATGCATACAACCTGTATGCTATCTGTTAAGTACAATGTACAGTGAGATTACATATTAACAAATCTAGCAAAAAGATTTTAGGTGATCATAATCTGCTAAACACAACATAGATTCTACCACAAGATATACAGTAATATGCTCCTTCATTTTCACTAAAAATCCAGCATTATTCTTTGTCACACGTGATAGACAAATTTTCAGCTTTTATTTCATGGACTATTCCAGTGATAACATGCATGACCAACAGTTGATTTAGTGATGTCATCGTGATTGACAGTTGATTTAGTGACATCATCATGAATAAAAGCTGTGGCCTAAAAAAAATTTATGTTTCCAGTTTAAGTCCTGAAAAAATAGGGTCAGTAGGTAGGGCTTTTCTTGTTTTTTTTAGACTTTGGCTAAAATGAAAGCCACATCCACCTGTTGCTTGTGCTTTTTACTAAAGAAATAAATTGCTTCTGAAAATGCATTAAATGACGTTCCAGACTTCATTTGATTTCAAATTCAGATGGAAAATTCAGATAAAAAAAGACTAGTATAGGGTCGGTGGGTTTTTGCTAGGGTCAGGAAACAGGAAACACATTTTTTCCTAGGCCTGATATAGTGACGTCTTTAGGATTGACAGTTGATACAGTGACGTCATCATGACTGACAGTTGCTATAGTAACATCATCATGATTGACAGTTGCTGTTGTACAGGGGTAAGGCAGTGGAATTGTCCTGAGATGGCAGATCTAGACCTGAGCAGGGCAGTATCTTAGTTCTCAGCCTTGTAGCACTCTGTACATGTACCAGCCTCAACAGCACTCTTGCAATATGTTTAGGCTGCGGCAAGTAAATCTTATGGATGACATCCTCCACAGACTCCAAATCTAGTGCGATAGGGTGGAAAAAATAAGGCAGGCCAAAAAAATTCCTACATTTTCAAATTTTGACATCATAAACCTAGTTAAACAAGAAAATGATATACCAGGCATATATTGTGCACTGACAACTATTACAACATCCATGTGTCACTGAAAAGTTTTCAATCATTGTACAAATGGTTGTGATTCAGTGGGAACATTAATATAAAAGAAATGGAATACATTACTGCATCAAAGTAAAAAACAAAACAATAAATCAGTCTTGTCTCCTTTCTTCATATTTATCTGCCATCCACGTTCCAGCATGGCATTGCACCTTTGCCCATTTTCTGCATGTTGACCACTGTCAGAGGGCAACAAAATTTCTTGTTTTTTTTTCCCCAAATCAGGCGAAAATTAATGTACGGGCTGATGTCATCCATAAAAGTTACTTACTGTGGCCTTAAGTCAAGCCTAATCCAGAACTTGCCTATAGCTACAGATTGTAGTCTCCTTTGCAGGCTTACAAGCTAGGCTTTTGTTTCTAACTGCATAGGTACAATCATAGCTGGTATACAATGAGAAAACAGCACATAATAAGCCAAAAAGCCACACTGATAGGCCTGCTAAGGAGGCTACATGGGCTAAAAGCCTATATGATTCTGTTTGATTTGTCAGGAATCGGAGTTTCAACATGAACTAAAGAAATGTTCCTTAGTATGTCTCAGATAATTGTGATGACTTCAATACTGTGGATAAAGTGCATAAGGTCTGAGACCAATGAGAAAAAAAGGCAAAGAACTTGAGTGTAAAACCTCTACTAGTATTATGCTTTCCACATGCTCAACTATACTTCACAGTGAATAAAAACAAAACAAGACTTGAAATACTAGACTAAGTACTGACAATATGTTTATGACAAAAGTTACAACACTACAGTCCCAATATATACATGACTCAAAAGTTTAACTTGTATTATGTGCCATATAAACAAAATATTACAATTTACAGAACAAATAACAAACTTCTGACATATGTTTGAAATGAAATAGTGAAGAAATACATAATCTTTTCTTGGACGGACCTAAAAGGAAGAACATGTATAAAACAAACTGAATAATACTGTATGATACATTAAAAATCACATCCTGGCTTCCACTATTTTGTCCTGACTGTGTGTATAAGTTAATGTTTGGTGCACAGCAAATCACTACTAGCTCTAAAGTTTATCTGTGTTCTTGGTAGAAATCATTCTAAAACAAGTTTGAACTGTGATTTCCAACAGAAAAATTATACTGAACTTTAGACTGTTAAATTTTTTTTCAAGGAATGAACAATCCACCTCCACTTCTATGCCATAAACTTGTATGCAACTTTCTCAACAAAGACAAGGGCCCCACAGACTTTCTGCAATAAATGATCCACTACTCACCAAGTCACTTGTGTCATCTGCATAACATGATGTCACAGAAGCGGTGGATTGCTCATTCCTTGACAAAGACTGGAGTTGTACAGTCAAAAATTTGGTCCAAATTTTCTTTCAGAAATTACAGTTAACTTTGCTTTCAGGCAAACCAATTCCTTCACTTCTATTGCATTTAGTTTTTAAAAAGCTGCCACAATTTTTCATGTTCATGATTCAGTACGCATAGGGCGGTACATTCATGTAGCACACTTTACCTAAAACCCTTCCATGGATTCTGGGAAATGCAGCACACTATGGGTTTTTCTTATACACAACCAGTAATTCTCTGATCTTGCTTATGTTTTGATGTCTATCAGACATATTCCTCAGAGCTTCTGACAGAAGTACTGCTTTTGTTTGTAGCTGATGTAGGTGGCACTTTTGGGGGCAATCCTAGCCTCCATAGCATGCCAAAAACTGGGGGTTTTGGGGGTCTTCAGGGTCTTTGGGAGGTTTTTATGAACTATTTTCTGATTGCATATAGACAACATAGCTGGCCTGGTTTAGAATTGGACTAATCAGAAAACAGCCGAAGACCACCAAATCCCCAGTTCTATAAGCCTGCTACTGGCTATAGCCTATAGGGCAATCCCAAGTTTGAATCTCCTTCAAGCAAGGTGAGAGAAGTGCTGGTTTTGTGTAAGAAAATCCCACCATCCCATGTTCTACCAACCTGATAAAACTACATGTATTTTCGTACCTAAAAAGCATTGCAAAGAAACGCTATCAACATTATTCTAACACAGACAGCTCTGACGAGGCCGGGGACACTTTCTTAGACTCCTGGACTGTCTTAAACTCCAGGTTACTTGGGACCTGCAGTCCAGTCTGTACGGTCAACCCTCCACACCAGGTCATGAAGGCAGGGAGGACGGGCTGCTGAAACTTGGCCTTGAACTGGTGGAGTAGTTGTTTGGTCTGAGCATCGTGGAAGGACAGGACCAGGTTGTCATAGTCCAGATACACCCCTATTCTCTCTGGGATGGGCACGTCAAGCTGTTTGGACTTGTTGTTGTGTTTCGCTGACATGGTGTTCTGAGGAAAAAGGTAAAGGTTGGTTGGTTGGTTGGTTGGTTGGTTGGTTGGTTGGTTGGTTGGTTGGTTGGTTTTCCTTTAATACCCACGATTATAATTATAATGACCATTCTAGCATAGTCATTTTCACCTGAGTGAGGTGCAGCTAAAAGTCAAACGCTATGTAAACCGTGTGCACTAATAAGCTGCAATTGTATGTAGTTATCTATAATCCATAACCACACAAGAATACATGGACAAATACAATGCATTTCACACGAGAAACAGATGCAATTTTGACAAGAAGTCAAACCAATTTTCTTGTACTGTCAGTACTTAACTTTTACTTTATTTTGCAATGTTAAAATACCCATAATTTGCTATGTAGTATATATATTGAATTGCAAACAAAGACAGGAAGATAAGTGACACTGTACAATATTGTATCACTATAATGGACATTCTAAATAAAAAACAAAAACAAACAAACCTGTAACCAGTTGTTGACATGGAGGCACCAGGATGTGTTAGTTTTCCCGAGCTGGTCAAACTTGCCCAGGTTTCTGTAGGCCACGCCCAGGGTGTAGGACTTACACTCAGGCTGGGCTGTCACCTCCCAGTAATGCTGTCCCTCGTCTAACGTCACATCAGCTGAGACAAACAAACAAACAAACAAACAAATGAAGCACCTCCCAGTAATAGTGTCCCTCATTCAAATCCACATCAGCTCAAACAGTTAACAAGGGACATGTACATGTAAGCATCCACTAGACTAAGTGAACAGTTAGCTCAGTGTGTTAATCTTTGCAATATTGCCTACTGCCTAGTATATATACCCAGTACTAAGACTAGTGCTACATGTAAGTTTTGCCTACCCAGTACTTTGTACCAAGAAACAGTCTTGGTGTGGTTTGCCTACTTAGTACTGTGTAAGACTCTTCCCTGAATGAAATGGTCTAAGTGTACTAAAGATTAAGTTTTGCCTATACAGTGTATGGCTCTCAGTGTGCAACCTTGCCTACCCAGTAATGTATAAGACTAAAGTGAAACAGTCTCGGTGTGCTAAAGGTTAATCTTTGCCTACCCAGTACTGTGTAAGACTCTCAGTACTAGTCTGCTAAAGGTTAAATTTTGCGTACCCAGCACTGTGTAAGACTTTCTCCTGAAATGGAATAGTCTTGGTGTGCTAAAGGTTAATCTTTGCGTACCCAGTACCGTGTAAGACCCTCAGTCTGCTAAAGGTTAAGTTTTACATACCCAGTACTGTGTAAGACTCTCAGTCTGCTAAAGGTTAATCTTTGCCTACCCAGTACTGTGTAAGGCCCTCCCTTGAAACAGTCTCAGTGTGCTACGTAAAGGTTAAATTTTGCCTACCCAGTACTGTGTAAGGCTCTCAGTGTGCTAAGGGTTAAGTTTTGCGTACCCAGTACTGTGTAAGACTCTCAGTGTGCTAAAGGTTAAGTTTTACATACCCAGTACTCTGTAAGACTCTCAGTGTGCTAAAGTTTAATTTTTGCGTACCCAGTACTGAGTAAGATGCTCCTGTGAAACAGTCTTGGTGTGCTAAAGTTTAATTTTTGCATACCCAGTACTGTGTAAGACTCGCCCGTGAAGCGGTCTCCCCTCTTGCTAGCCGAGGCAGGCCGCTTCGCAGGTGACTTGGCAGGAGAGGCCGGCCGCATGGTCTTGGCTGGAGACCCCGGTCTACTGCCTCTGCCCTGGAAAATAGCAGAAGAGTTGTCATTTTGTTATTGTCAAGTTTTAGCATAGAAATAGTTTGAACTTTTGATAATTGTTTAAAGGGAGACTCAGCGAGGTTCTTGTAAGACAATTTGAGGTCACTCAGTATAGTATTGGTAAAAAGATAAAAGGCTATGTCCAAAAGTACATGTCTTGCATAATAAAGATAAGGATGTTATTATAAGCATGAGAAGGGAGAATATAGACTATAGACTGAGTTTAGGCTGCATCCTTGTCAAAGTACCACCATACAGTAGGGAGAAGTACAATTTGGAGTCCAATCATAATAATCCCTGACATAGCAAGCATGTGTATTATTATGTGATTGTAAACCCTGCATCAATTCAACACTACATGTATAAAAGGCTGCAATTGAATTGGGTAATGCTTAACCAATAAACCAATTATTATTAATATCAAGCTGAGGAGTTATTGAAATTTCAGCCAGATAAATTGTTTCTAGGTCTGTATCTGTACTATCAGTATAGCCAGTATAACACCAGGCCATACATAATACTTATTTTACAATAAGACTTGTCTAAAAATTTACTCTTAGCCTTTTATTCAATGATGATCTTTGTTCAAGTTCTCACCTTGGTTTCCTGAAGTTGACCTTTGCCCCCCATGGCGTCCCACTCCACAGAGGACCCGTCTTCTGTGACCTTGAGGTTAGCGTGGCAGGACGTCTGGTCAAGTTTGAAGTTCAAGGCTAAGGAAAAACAATTATAACAGGGAGATAAGCTTAGTATATTTATCAGAATTGTACATTTTTTGCCTAGCAAAATGTACCTAGATAAGCTGCTCAGGGGGCAAGAAATTCAATATCCGTGTATTAGGTCTTTTAGTGATGAGGTAACTGCTTCTTTTTGTCATGTCTGGACCACAATACCGGTCAATATACATTTTTACCTGTAGGTGTCTCATGTGATAACTACCCATATCACATGGGGTTCTATTGGTTATCACATGGGCTTCAAAACTTCAGTTTGAATGCGTTTTGTGTGTGCCGCTTTCAAAAATCCTCTCTATATAATATACACTTTAGATGCCTATAATGTCTAATGCTTGAATTAGACATTTAAAATTGATGTTGTTCCAGTTTTTCCGTTTCACTCGCTCGCTTAAATTTTCACAACTTTTGGCACATTTCGCATTAAAACATGTTTTCTCAAGTAGTAATGACATAAATAGAATACAACATGTCGGCATCACGTAGAGCATAATCATGCAGCCATTTTAATTCTACGTAGATCATATTCATAGACGGACCGCTCTAATTTAACGTAGAGTGTAATTGGCAGTACAGCGTAATGGGGGAGGTTTCTTGAATTCAACGTAATACATGTATGTAGACAGCTCTCAAAATTTAGCGTAGAGCATTGTCCGGACCCCCATGCAGACCCTCATACGGGATGAACCGGCATGTAGTGTTCTTGTATGTAACTGCAGCATTCTGGATTTTGTACCTTTTGTCTCTAATGTGACCACCTCACTGTAGTCTCCAGCCACAGCCTTGTTACAGGCCCTCGCTCGGAGTTGGATGAACTTCTGGTTAAACGCCAGACCCAGAATCGTGTAGAAAGGCTCTTCTATGTCTTCTATTAGTTGCCAGCCATTTTCCACCTAAGAAATGAAACATAATATGAAGTACAAAGATGCTTCAACTTACTTGTTAATAAGCCTTAGAGCCCAATCTTAGCTTGTACATACTGAACAAAACTTGTATTTACTACACATACTAGTACACAGGCCACAGCAGGTAATTTTTATGGATGACATCAGCACGCGCATTAATTTTCGCCTGATTTTGGAAAAAAAAAATTTTGTTGCCTTCTGACAGTGGTCAACAATTGATGCTGGCTGTGTATATGTGATGTTCCCACTGAATCAAAACCATTTGTACAATCATGATTGAGTCAAAATATCAAATTGTAGGAACCTTGTTTTATTTCGCCAGCTCGCATTAGATTTGCAGTCTGCGGAGGATGTCATCCATAAAATTTACTTGCTGTGGCCTTATGCAAAACAGATATTATACTTTTTGACCTCTCACCTTTGCCCTCCCACCCATGGCTGCCTTAATCTCATGACCCCTGACCTTTGCCCTCCCACCCATGGCTGCTGTAACCTTATGACCCCTCACCTTTGCCCTCCCACCCATGGCAGCTGTGTCTGTCTGTCTGTACTCCAGTAAGAAGTGGTCGACCCTGCTCCCCTCAGGAACTCTCCAGACGACTGTTACTGTGTTGTCTTCCACCCGACAGGCTTCTGTATCAATCTCAGGAGTGGCAGGAGCTGGAAGAAAAGACATGATCTTTTCAAAAATGCATTTTCTTTTAATATACCTTCTGGTATAGCAACACTTGCAATTGTACATTAAAACTACATTAACTACTAGTACAAATCAGTACTAGTGTTTGAGCCAGCGCCTGTCATTTGATGGAAGTTTTGCTGCTCATGATGGACAAAAATTTTGCCCAATCCGTGATCTTTGAAGGACAAAAATTGGTGTTTAAATCTACATGTATGGAAAGAGATGTCATAAAACTAACCTTAGTCTGCCAGGAAAAAGTTGCCCCTCAAAATCCAAAAATAGCGTTTCAGAGGGTCAAGATTTACAGTTTTCTTGAGGGAGCATTCTGATGTGAAAATATAATGTTATGTCAAACAAAATTGAGATGACAAAAAACACTACTCAAACTAATCCAAACATACCAGGCAGAAAGTCTAGTTTTCTCAGAGCTTCCCTCTCCTCTGTGAAGTCTGCGACCAGGTGGGACATGTTGTCTGTGACCTTGGGTTTCAAGGTCAGACGGAAGGCAGGGGACATGGTCACTCTGGAACAGTCAGGAACAAAAATCAACCATGACATTCAGGAAGAAATGTTTGTACAATAGTTACTTGATTTTATGAAGTTTCTTAGAACTGTTCAAACTGTTTGAGAAATTTAGACATGGCTTCCAGTGCCTTAGATTGTTATGTTTACCGACGGAAAACATATTGTGTTTGCTCTGTTTCCTCTTCTTCTCCAAACCAAAAAGGTCAATGACCTGAACCAGATTGTCTGTTACCAGGATGGTAACTAGTGTTGGACTACATCATGTTGCAATTTTATAACAGGAGGGATTTAGACTCCAGGACCTGTCTGATCATATACACATGTATATGAAAAATTATATTTGAGAAAGAATTAACAGGGCAGACCATATGCGGAGGTAAACATTTTATGCATTTGCTTAAATGTTTCCTCTCTAGTTAATATTAGTTTTGTGAAAGACACCAACATTAGGGGCAAAATCACAAAGATGTGAGAATTGTTAATATCATACACCAAAGAGACAATAACACACAACAATGACAACACCACAGCACAGTCACAAAGTACTCAGGGCATGAAATACATGGCACTCAGGCACCCTGTATTTTTGAAATTGTTGAAATTGCATTTGGCAAGTTTCAAAACCTTCAATTCAAACACATGTTTTTAATGCATGTGTCTAACTTTATTCAACAATTGCTACTGTTTCTGTGTTTGTCTCCGAATGTTATGCAAAAGATTTGCAAAATGTATTCCATGCCCAGAGTCTTATGTTACAGGTAGGTTGATACAGTATGTTACAGCAAGTACCTACACATCACTAGGGCTGTGTACCTAATACCTGTCTACAAAGACAACAATTTGTTACAAAAGGTGGCAGTTGGCATGTATAATACAACTTATAGATGATTGGCCAAGCTCGTTTATGTCCGGGTCTGTACCTTAACCTGTGTACCTGTACCTAGTGCTGTGGACCAGTTCGCTGGACCGACCAGACTTGCAAAAAGTTTTGGTTCAAGTGTAGAAAAACCTAAAAGTCAAATCAACCAATTCTGGACTTATTACAAAAAAAACATGTCACATACCCCTTTTCTTCCAAACCACTTAAAATCTCCCATAGATTGCAAATTCTGTGCTGCAAAATGATTTTATTAGAAGACATTGCCATCGGGCATCGTCACATGTCAGCTTCCATGTTATGTGGCCACAGTTTTGCCCAGACAACATTGCAAGGTTGCCAACATGCAATTTTGTATATGATAAGGGTTTAGGTCCAGACGAGTCCGGAACTGAACCTAAACCTCTGGACTTGAATCCGAACCTGAACCTAAATGTGGGTTTAGGTACACAGCACTACATGTAGGTACAGGTACAGGTACAGGTGAAATTTGTTTAGGTACACAGCCCCACACGTCACACTGAAAGGCATGCAGATGTTGTTTACCTATCCTTGATGCGTTTTGCGGCCTGTCGGGGGATGTTAGGAGGACACGAGAAGACAACAGTCGTCAGAGCACATGCATCATGGGAAACATGCAACATTCTCAGCAACATGCAAGCATCAACAGGTTATAATGGCTTCAATACACAGACACATACATGGAATAAAATATGATGGATTCAACATAATAAAGCCATAAATAAGGAAGATTATAGGATGTACAACTGCAAATTATCTTACAATGTAATTTCACTAGCTATGGTTACAATTTTTGGTACATACAGAAATGCTAAGCTGTAAAGTTAACATGAAAACAGAATCTAAAGGGAAAGTCGGCACTTGTCCAGGACAATACAAAAATGAATTAGTTACTAAAGGTACCTTCTATGAAATAGCTGAAAACAAATTTGGTTTATTTGTATTTGAGACCCTCTTTTAAAACCGGTTCACCCTGGAACACAGTAGCTGTTGCGTAATGTGACACATTTATTCCCTAATGTTATTTTATAGAAAATCATAAAAGCAGCTATAATATCTCTATAGCACACAGCACAGTTGACTCCTCTCAAATAAGACTCTAAGAATTTTATTCATACTGCTTTGTAATTTGTATACCCGCTTCATAGACCCTGGTAGCTAGCCTGGATGCCATCTAATTTGCAACATCATTAGCTGCCTCTATTCTTCCCCCCTGTTACAACACAACACAACAATACATGCTCAGAACATGTTAACCTTTAGCACATACACATGCCATTACAAATCAGAGGGCACCCAGGCTATGTCCCCGGGGGTCGCCCATTAATACTGTGTTCTGTGGTCCCCTGTACCTGACTGAAGGCATCTGGGTCAGTCTCCTGTAAGGCGTCGGCTGCCATGTCCATCAGTTGGGTGGAGTTATCCAGCGCCATCTGACAGGCCTGCATGTCAGTCTACAGGAACACGGGGAGGAAGAAAAAAATCATAACCCACACTGGTGTTGTACATGTATGTTCTCAACTAGAGACAATCAAACACAATAAATAAAGTGGCATCGCATGACGCAATGATCAGAGCATTAGGCTCCAAACTAAGGGGTTCTGGGTTCGATCCCCTGACATGCCCAATGATGTGCCCTTGGAAAAGACATTTTACACGACTTCGAATTCCCTCCCTGTACAGTGGAGTGACGCCCACTGGGCCTTTCGGCAAGTCATTGATACTGTTTTTGGTGTCACCAAGATCTGCAAATTTGCCACTAAGAACTGCACAATTTTTTTCTTAACACAATCAATGACTCAATGTATCAATCCATTAGTCCGTACCTCTACAGCCATCATCTTGCTGTGCTGTTCGTCCTCTATCCTGGCTGTCATGGTGTCTCTCATCTCATTCATCACCGCGTACAGCTGGTCAAACTCCTCCTGAAGGTCTGCCTTTGCCTGAGCACCATTTTCCTGTACAGAATAGGAACATAGGACATATACATAGTCAGGGACTCTACTTCAGCACTAAGGACAGCTATAACCTACACTTATTTACTGGACAGACACCATTTTGCTGAAGACACATATAGTTGTTATTTTCCAAGCTAAAGAGAAGAGGAACATACATGTAGGACATATATATTTTGTTGTACCATACAGGGACACTACTTCAGCACTAAGGACAGGTATAACCTACACTTACTGGACACCATTTACCTCAAGACATAGTCAATAGTTGATATTTTCCAAGAGAATAAGAACATAGCACATATACCATACACATTACAGGACACTACTTCAGCACTAAGGACAGGTATAACCTACACATACTGACTGGGCACCATTTTCGTCAAGACATAGTCAATAGTTGGTATTTTTCATACAGGGACTCTATTTAAGACGTAAGGACAGCTATAACCCATACATACTGACTGGGCACCATTTTCCTGAATACACAGTCAATAGTAATTTCCAAGAGAATAGGAACATAGGACATGTACTATACGGGGATTCTATTTCAGCACTAAGGACAGGCATAACCTGTCAGTACATGTATGTGTATACTGACTGGGCACCATTTTCCTGAAGACACAGTCAATAGTTGTTATTTTTGAAGAGAAAAGGAACATAAAACATATACATCTTGTACCATACAGGGATGCTATTTCAGCACTAAGGACAGGTACCATTGCTAGACAAATGTTGTCTTACCTCTACTTTCTCAGCAATTTCTTCCAGAATCTCCACAAAGCTCTGGATCTCCTCACTCTTGGCAGCCAAGGTGGTGACAATCCTACTCAAGGCTTCCTGTAGGGTTTCATTAAACATTTAAAGATAAACAGTAGTATCTTAGCATACAAATCAGACACTTCTTTTACATGTATAGATTTCAAGTACACTGATTTAAATTTTAAGGCCACACCAATTTAATTTGTTGGGTCTCAGATTTGCCTCTTCATTTTATTTCTGACAAAAAGATTCTGGTTCTGAATCAACTCAAATATGCTCATATTTTGCCCTCAACAGTTGAGGAAAGTCCTTTTCTTCCTAGCTGTTGCAGTGTTTCCATCTATCAATGCAGTGGTTTGATTTAAAGTTCAAAACTCGCTGTTTAATAAATATTAACCCAGCCTTTTGTGTTAACTTCATGGCTCCAATCATAATACTTGGAGCTATAATAAGATGCCAGTCGCTTCATTTTTTTTTTAAATATGAGAACCAACAAATTAAATTTGTGTGGCCTAACATAATTAGAAATGGGACATTGAGAAACCAATATCTGGCACCAGTCTGGTCTCAGGCCAAGACGTTACTATGTCCCTGTGAAATTAAAGACATGATCAGAAACTATTACAGAAGGCAAATATTACTAGAACACTATAGGTGTACCAATGAGCATGGATTCATACACAATTTTATTTGAATTGAAATTATTTATTTTGCAAATACCATAAAAAAAGAAGTGAGAATACATGTAAATTTAAGAATTATTGTTACACAATGTAACAAGAAAAAATATACTTAGTCTAGTAATGTACTGACAACTAAATACAGTAATATAGATCATAAGTAAAACATATACTTACTGTTTTTATGAATACTAATATCAAAAATGATTGAGCTGTTCTTAGAATTACATTTGTACATTGTAGAAAGATTTTCTGTTGACTTCAGGGTTCATATCTTACAAGTTATAAATCATAATTGACCATTTTGTCTCTGTAATTCCCTAAAGTACACAGTAAAATGAGCCAAGCCTAGCTTTATGCATTATTTAACAGACAGACAGACAAACTGCAGACATTCAGGCCTAGAAAAAACAGTAAGTTGTATCTTATCAAGCCATTTTTCTCAATTCCTATAATCTTTCTTTGGTTAAACAACACAGTAAAATCATTTATTGTAGAGCATGAAAACATATAGTTATCAGTCATTTTTCAACCAAATTGTAAACAAAAGTACAATTAGCTATGCCTATAAAATACATTTGTAACTGTACACAGTTAGTTGTATCTTATCAAGCCATTTTTCTCAATTCCTATAATCAAATTTGTATCTTTCTTTGGTTAAACAATTATATAGTAAAATCATTATCGTAGAGCTGGAAAACAAATAATAATCAGCCATTTTTCACCCAAATTGTAAACAAAACTACAATTAATTATGCCTATAAAGAATATGCATGTAAAGACATTATACTTTCCGATCCAATTGTTTTTATCCCAAATTTACTCAAACAAATCTTTGGTGAAATGGTCCACACAATTACTGTTGATTGAAATGGCAGCTAAAATCACTGGGGAATGGCAAAATGGCACACAGGGCAGCTTATCTAATTAACATGACTTCATTAAGATTGATTCTGCCTGTAATTTATTTGTGCTGCTTGCGAGACAGATTGGTTTTTAATGAGCATAAAGAATACATGTGCGAGATGGATTGTTACTGTATGTAACGTTATAAACCCTAACAGAATTTTTTTTATTTTAGAAATTTTGCAATTATGGGCATCCAATTATTTAATGTTAATAACCATAATTGGGCTATTCCAAAAAATAACTGACAATAAGGGGTGGGCAGGGGGGTGTCAACAAAATCTGGTCTGAACAGGGGGTGGTCAAGAAAATCTGGCCTGGACAGGGGGGTCAAGTGGCCTGCACAGGGGGGCGGAGTCAAATATCTGGCTTGGACAGGGGGGTTGAGTGACCTGGACAGGGGGATCGAGTCAAATATCTGGCCTGGACAGGGGGGGGGGATGAGTGACCTGGACAGGGGGGTTAGGTCAGAAGCTGATTGAGACCTCGTCTACCCCCCTCCACAGTATTTTTTATTTGGAACAGCCCAATTAGTTGAGTGTAACGTATGCCAAGATACCATTTTTTGTTTAGAAAAGTGGCAGCACAAAACACGCATATAATATATCCGTGTATCTACACTAAATGACTAAAAGGGAAACTATCATCGCACAAAAAAACAGAGCAGTTTTATAACGGGAGGTTGTGCTATGTTGTCTATGCACCTGTCAAACGAAACCAAAAACAAACAAAAACAACTGTATACAATAAAATGTTTACCTTTTGGGCCTCCATGTTCTGCCTACCACCTGCACAAATCGTCTGGAATCTCCAAACTTCCAAGTTCCAAGTTTTTGCGCCAATTTTAAGGATAAACGGATTATTTTCCTCCGAAGCTAATATTTCAGCAGACTATTTCCACCATATTTGATGACGTCAGGGAGACGACCTCATTTGAAAAAAAGGTAAAATCATTAAACACTATAATCCGCAAAAACATCTAAAATTTGATAATTTTTCATGATATCATAGAATAAAATATTTTGAAATTCACTTTTTATAGTAGTTTGCTGCACAGTTTGGTATATCTATGAACAGTTACCTAGATAACTTTCACCCCCTACTTTCAATGGTATAGTCCAATGTCAAAGGTTATTTTATTTTGAGAACTGGCGCGCAACACGCAGGTGTGGAAAAATTCGCTGAATATTTTGCTGTTTTTCTCTCGGTTTTTAGCCACAAATTAGTGGAATATGTTCTCGTTTGGTCCGGAGAATGTTTTAGTAAGTGAGCAGCAGAATGTTTGTGAGTTTTCGCCATGAATTTGTGATGTTTTGAAGAGAAAAATGCGGATTTCCTGACCTGGCGAATTTTGAAGAAGACAACAAAATGGCGAGACAGTTGGGAAGAGTAGCACGTGGTATGGAGACGACTTCGCTTATTTTTGCAGGTAAACCAGCAAATTTATTTGGCTGAAATTCTTTCCCATATTCTTCCCAACTTAAGTGCGAACATGTCAAGTTGCATTCCGTAAGAAATGACCTATTTCTGTGTTAAAGAGCGACCGTTCCAAAAATTATTTTAGGTGTAGGCTTTGAAAAAGTCTATCAAGTTGCCGCGTTTTCAACAAGATTTTAAATGTGTGGTGCGCTTGTAGATAATTAAATGTACGTGCATGTCTTTTTTGTCCTTTTTTTTACGTTTTGACCGTGAAAACCAAACGTTGGATCTTGTTTTCGACCGTGAAAACCAATGAAACCAATTACTCTGCATGTATACTTTACTTTGTGGGGTCGACCTACCGGATGATAGTGACGTTATTCGTATACAACGAAGTTGCTAAAAAAGAGGAAATGCTGTTTACCACAAAATCATTGTTTTCTATCATAGTATGTATTTAATGTTCTAGAATTTTGCTAATAGCTGCTGTAATTGGACCAATAAATCAATGACATAAATTATGTTCATTAGCTGGCATATTTGCCTAAGTCGCAAGATGTCGCTTTTGATTGGTGAATAACGCATGAGGCTCGGATGTAACGCATGAGGCTGGTAAGGGCATACTTAGCAAAAATAGCAAAATATCAGGAATTATAAGGGTATTAGGCATAGAGCCATAGGATAAAAATAGAGCTAAAGATACTACGGGCAAGGGCAATCAATTACATTGTGTTTTATTCGTGCTGTTGAACAGATTTAAACAGAGTTACGTTATCGCCCCCTCCCCCCATAATTTGAACGTGAAAATTTATGAATTCGTGCGACCTAACATTATGTTAGTGCATGGCAGGCTAAGTTTCTTGCTTTAATGCCAGGAGGTGCTCGTCAATTTTTAATGTCTTCTCTGCAATGTTCCGGTCGTATTGTATTTAGTTTGATTCGTTCCTTTTCTGAGAAATTGTAACTTTCAGTTTGGGGGGGGGGCAGCCATGCACGTTCTATATACAGTACACTCCACTGGATTTTCGTATTAAACTGGGTTTCCATTAGCTACTGTATTGAAGGAATAACTCAGTGCTTTCAAACAATCTAATTCACTCGCAAATTTTCCAGATTTCGAAGCTAATTTGCAATTGTATAAGGTAAATTTTCCCACCAAATAGCATAAATGAATCTCTATGTATGAGAAATTTTGAAGACTTTCCATGTGCTAATAGCAAGAAGTATTCAATATGCATGTTCAATTGGATGCTATACTGATCAAGAAATTATTTTTCTTCTCTTCCAGATGTGTCTTGGATTGCCCTGTTCTACAACAGACATACCGGAGCCATGTTGAACTATATATATTGCACTTATTATCAATAAAACCACTGCCATCGTACACTGTACTCTTCACTCATTGTAACCACTGCCATCGTGCACTGTGCTCTTGCACACATTGTAACCACTGCCATCGTGCAGACCAAACCCTGCCATCGTGCAGACCAAACCCTGCCATCGTGCAGACCAAACCCTGCCATCGTGCAGACCAAACCCTGCCATCGTGCAGACCAATCATTGCCACCGTGCAGACTGTGCTCTTACACTCATTACAAATAAACTCACCGGGACACTGCCATGGGCAGCGGCCGAGATAAACTTTTTTCAAAAGTCTTGTTTTAAGAAGTCTGATTTATTTCGTTGTTGTTGCAATCCCATTTTTAATGGTCATTAGGCATAGTTTTCGTTGAGGTATTTGATTGAAATTTTTTTTTAAATTGAAGAATTTTTTTAAAATCTTGTTCATTTCAATTTTAGACTGATTCTGTTTTAGTTTTCTGATTTTGGACTTAAACTATTTATTCTTTTTATAGAATCCAGTAGTGAACTGTGTTCTGACTGAGGGTGGCTGCTGACTGATGCAGTAGTGGGGACTCCTGTCTGAACCTGACAAGACAGATTGGACCAGACCAGATGATTTGAAGACCCCAGAGAAATATCAGGTGAGAAAAAATCTGAATTCTGCCTTTTACCTATACTTGGTGTTATTTGAGACTTTGTTATTTGAGTGTATAACTTGTAATGTCTGTATAGTTAGGTGGCTGCTGACTGATGCAGTAGACTGTAGTGATGATTCCTGTCTGAACCTGACAAGAGAAGATGTGGACCAGATCGGGTGATTTGAATACGAGATGAGATGAGAGCTCACTAAACCAGCTGACTTGAACTTTGAAGTTGAAGACTGAGTGAAGAGTTTGTACAGGTGAGACAATGCTTTACAACTTTATTTTTTTCTATTTGTTAAGAACTGAAAGGAATTAACATATACAAAAATCGAATGTACTTTAAACACTTTGTAGTAAAGCTTGTACATATCTAATTCATTTTATTCAGCAAAGGGGTAGTTTAATTTTTGGGGCATCACACTAATTATTCATTATATTAGTTAGGTGTGTCCTGATGTTCCTGTCCTGACTGGGAGAAACCTGTGATGACGGGTGAGTTCTGTCCAGACCTCTGCAAACCAGTTGACCTGAAGACACAGTGAAGAGTTTTTACAGGTGAGACAACACTTCAAGATTTACATGTTATATTTCTCTGAGGCATTTCACAATTATCAGGCATATCGCAATAGATAACAACTTTCTAGAGCCTAGGATTTTGTACATCTACTCAAGCAAATCGATTGTTCAAATTCCTTGTTCGAAATCTTTTTACAGTGACAGTTTCTTTCCCCGTATGGCCAAGCTTTGGAATTCCCTCCCTGACAAGTGTTTCCCACCAACCTACAATCTACAGGCTTTCAAATCAAACGTTCACCACCATCTCTTGACATAGCCATGTTTCTCTCATATTTCTAGTTGCCGAGAAGTGGTCGTATAGGCCTTGCATTGAACCACTCCATTAAAAAAAATATTGTGCTAATTCTAAAACTATCTTTAGTGGTCATTCAGTGTTGTGATTCAACATTAACAAATCTGTTCATATCGGTAGGTGTATCCTGAAGGTCAGCTGTCCAGACTGGGAGAAACCTGTGATGACAGGTGACTTCTGTCCAGACCTCTGCAAACCAGTTGACCTGAAGACACAGAGTGAAGAGTTTGTACAGGTGAGACAACACTTCACAATTTACATGTTATATTTCTCTGAGGCATTTCACAATCCTGAGGCATATCACAATAGATGACAACTTTCTAGAGCCTAGGATTTTGTACATCTATTCGAGCAAATCGATCGTCCAACTGTGCTAATTCTATCACTATCTTTGGTGGTCATCTGTTGTTGTGATTCAACATTGACAAATCTGTTCATATTGGTAGGTGTGTCCTGAAGGTCAGCTGTCCTGACTGGGAGAAACCTGTGATGACAGGTGACTTCTGTCCAGACCTCTGCAAACCAGTTGACCTGAAGACACAGAGTGAAGAGTTTGTACAGGTGAGACAACACTTCACAATTTACATGTTATATTTCTCTGAGGCAGCTCACAATTCTCAGGCATATCACAATAGATGACAACTTTCTAGAGCCTAGGATTTTGTACATCTATTCAAGCAAATTGATCGTCCAATTGTGCTAATTCTATCACTTTCTTTAGTGGTCATTCATTGTTGTGATTCAACATTAACAAATCTGTTCATATCGGTAGGTGTGTCCCGAGGGTCAGCTGTCCTGACTGGGAGAAACCTGTGATGACGGGCGACTTCTGTCCAGACCTCCGCAAACCAGTTGACCTGAAGACACAGAGTGACGACTTTCTACAGGTGAGACAACACTTCAAAATTTACATGTTATATTTCTCGGAGGCCTTTCGCAATCCTCAGGCATATCACAATAGACAACAACTTTCTAGAGCCTAGGATTTTGTACAATGCCTCCGGACGGAATATTGTGGGCAATCGTTTTTTTGTGTCTGCAGCTAGAACATGGGGTTGTCTTTGTTTAATCGGCATGTAATTTTATACGTTGTCTGCAGGAATTCCCTTGGTGATACACATATTTTTATTTTTACTATAGCTGATTTCGTGGTCAATGTAATATTTCAAAAGCACCCCTAAATGTTAGAGGCACATGGGACCGGCCGCAAAAACCCTGTTGTTTTGAATAGCGGAAGGAGGGTTTCCTTCCGGCAGATACGGATTTTGATTGTTGATTAAAAACAGCTGTTTCAAATTCGTCGACTGTAGTCAAAATGGTGAGCCGTTCTCCAATGTGTTCGCAGTGAAAAATCATTGTTGTCTTCATGTTGTTTGTCGTTATATCCATGATGATACACATTGTTTTCCTTTCACCGTAGCAGGTTTTATATTGAGGTAAATTCATATTTCTAAAACACCCCTATATCTGTAATCCTGTGGAATAGGCCGTAGCTTAAGTAGCTGTGTTGTAGGCACAGTTTTGTAAGCAGATATTAGGTGGTTGTTGTGTATAATCGTTTGCGAGTATCTTTTTGGATTGTGACTTATTGTGACTGTAGTTGTGACTGGTTTGCGCCTACTACGATACCTTATCAAAAAAT